TGCTGCTTGTTCGGGCGTCAGCTCAGTTGTGGAGGGTAGCATTACCTTAGGACTCTAGACGTTGTGGCGGTGCTTACTTATAAGTTCTTCCGAGTATAATCAAGACGTTTGTGTAGTCAAAAACTCGAGGATAAACACATGGATTCCTCGAAAATACGCGCTGCCACGGCGTACCAGTCTCTACAGTTCAGCGTTGCGAGGCGAATGATGTTGGGCGCATCGGAGTCGCCTACCTCCGAGCGCCCACCGCATTTCCCGTACGACAACGCAAAGGAGGCCGTGTAGAGCTGGCAGGTGACACAAACCTGCCCGAAGCAGCGGGGGGGGTGCGCCAATGGGACCACGCCTGCGGCGGAGGAGGGGGAGGCGGGGGAGGGCCTGGAGAACCGACGGATGCATGCACGAGATTGCTTGCATGATTTGCATGGGATGGACAGTTAAAACATGAACAACATGCCCAGCAAGCATGATCAACGCAATCAGCAGGCGCCGGATTTCCACAGCTCCTGCACCATTGAGGCTGTGGCAGTCTGCGCCTGCGACGCGGCAACGGTTCCCACATGCCATGCCGGGCATCGGGGACACATGTTGACGCTCGGGGAACAGCTGGCACCTGCGGTGAAGGTTGCTGACACGTTCTCGGAGGTGGGGCAGGAGGAGGCGGACAATTCCGAACAAGCTGTGACCAAATTCCTTACGAAGCACTCGCAGTCAAATTTGGCTGGTGGCAGAATGCAGTATTGAATTTTCTGGAGTTGTGTCGAGTCAATAGCTGTGTTTCATCCATCTGGAAGCATGGCATTGTTGTCCCGCTTGCGAAAAGTGCGCAATCCAGTGACCGAAACGATTATCGACCCATCACATTGACGTGCTGTCTTGCTAAGCTGCTGGAGCGGTTGATCTTAAACCGGGTCCGTCCTTACATCGATCCACGCTTGGATCAATGCCAAGCAGGATTTCGATACGGTTCGGATGTCCAAGTGTATGCTCTCTTAGAAACCCTTCGGTTGTGCCAAGACGTGCCGACTTATTGTGCATTTCTTGACATGCGTAAGGCATTTGACGTTGCATGGCGTGATGGTGCCATGTTGCGTTTGCACCGGGCTGGTGTCTCTAATGATCTCTGGCATTTGATTGACGACTTAATCTCAGATCGCTCGGCAGCTGTACGTCTTGATTTGCAGTTTTCGGACACGTGGGATGTTGAGGATGGTATTGGTCAGGGAGCGGTCCTGAGTGGCTTTCTTTTAATATTTTGATTAATGGACTCGGCGCTGCAATCAAGCGAGCATGCAACGGGGTTTCTTGTGGTTTGTCCGGGGAAAATGTAAAAGTCAAACTTTTTCTGTATGCAGATGACATCGTCATTTTGAGTGATAGCCCTGCCGACTGCAGCTCATGCTTGGGCGTTGTCTTGGCGCTTTGATTTTGGAATCGGCCCCAAGAAATCTGCAGTCATGATTCTTGGCCGTGGTCGTGGCCGCACTCGTGCACCTGCCTTCTTTTTAGGTGGTCAGGGTTTGCCGCGTGTTAAGACTTACACTTATTTAGGGGTTTGCTTGCGTGAAAATTTGTCTTGGAAAGGGCACATTGACCTTTTGCTTGCTCGTGGTGAGCGAAAGATGGCGGCATGCCTGATTTGGACCAAGTCTGCAGACCTGCCACTTTCCATGATGCCGAAACGATGCGTCTCATTCAAGCAGCTGGTTTATGGGCCCGCCTTTTAAGCTTACCACCAGGTTGCTTCGCAGGACAGCTCGCACGGTCTGTCGACCAGTGACAAGCGCTGGTGTTTCGCATCCGGTTGAATGGGGTATCCACGCCGGTTGCGCAGGAGATGTTGTAAAGAAGTGGTTGCAACATGCCCGGCTGATTTTGGTCAACAGGTCCCACGCAAGGTATGCTTCAAATTTGGATCATGTTGACAGCTTGCGGCTGTATTCGTAGTGGCAGCCAATGCCACGCTTACATCCCGTTGCGTACGGTCGTAGCAGCCACGCCCATCATGTGCGATTCTGGGGTCTCGCCCGGTGTGGTCATCATGACTTTGCTGACGGGCGGGCTGCCCGACATCGTGGTTGTAACTCTGATGGGCCGTGTCGGTTTTGCGCATCAGGGGCAGACACTCTCGCACATGCATTGTCAGATTGCCCAGTGCATACTGTAGCTCGCAGGCGCTGGTGCCAACAAACTCGTGGACGAAACGACATGTCCTTGCACACTCTGTTTTGCACAGATCCAGCAGTGAACACAGCTGGAGACATTCTGCGCAACGTTGCGTTTGTTGGCGCTGTGTGTCAAGCAGCTGCCGCGTGTGAGATGTGATCTGAGCCGTAGCGCCGTAGTTGACAATCCTGTCAGTCATGTGCATGTTCGCAGTTTCATTTTCGTTGTTCCTTGCTTGGTTGTCGTCTGGTAATCGTTCTTGGACTGAGTGCTTGATGCATATGATGATATGAATACCATGTTTCACGTTCTGACCACAACAGATGGTCGTTCAAGGACAAGCCTCTCGTTGCGCAGGTAAGCCGCTGCTTGCGTGGCCGCTAGCACCGAGGGCATGCGGCCAGCAGCTGGGGCCCGGAGGCACTGCATGAGGCGGTCAACGACGCTGGAGGCGCGGAGGCGAATGACCGGGAGAGTGTCCATCCAAGAGGCCCAGTAAGCAGCGTACCGGTCGCGGCGTGCGCGGAGGCCCAGTCCTCCAAAGCGCAGAGCGAGGTGCGCAGCGCAAGTCGCCTCAGGCGGCAGCGGGGCATCCGCATGGCCGAGAAGCGTGGCGAGGCAGTGGAGCATGGCTGCATCGTGCTGATCTGCATATTCGGCTGTGGCGGCCGGGGGCAGGGCACACAGGAGGTAGTTTGCGCGCGTGCGGGCGCAATAGTGCAACAGCAACTACGAGGCTTGCAGGTCCTCGACACGGGGGATGCGTTGGAGGGAGCTCCAGTCGCTGCTGGATGTACGCGTCAGTGCCAAAGGGTGTGCCAAGGACCGTGAGCCCCTGTTCGCGAAGTGGCAGCGCCCAGTCCCCGACCCAGACCTGGGCGTCTTGGTCCAGCTGCAGGGCGGAGATTCCGGGAGGTTCCTCCACGTGCGCGTGGGCCCAGAGCACGCGCCGGTAGGCCTCATAAAGCTCGCACACCCGCTCGGGCGAGGACACGATGTAGGTGTCGTCGAGGTAGGCGAGTATCGCTTCACCGTCCCTGAGTTGCGACTGCAGTCGAATGCGGGCTGTTGGGAGGACGCGCGGCAAAGCCTATAGCTGCCGGCACGCCTGCTGAGGCCGTATTGGTGAGGAAGGCAAGCATGCTGGAAGTGTGGTGCGAAAGCTTGTGCCAAGGTTCGCCCAACCAGGCGGCATAAGGCATCGTCAACTACCAGTGCGAGGATGCCGCGGCCATTCGGCTTCTGCAAAGCGACCATGCGCCCGGCTCGCATGGTTGCGAGCGCCGGGGCAGGCACGTCGCCGTGGGCAAGTCTCTCCGCACGCCGCGCGCCTATAGCGTCGCGCACGGCACAGCAGCATCGCGCGCTGCACCCGCGCATCGCGCGTCGCCCGTCCGCGCGCCCGCGCGTTTCGACACATCCAATACGTGGCCCGTTTTGTTAAAATTGCATTTACAAGGGCCTGAACTTAGACAATATATATATATATATGCCTATCTGCTATATAATATACCGTTTCAGCCTCTAACCTGTAATCCTGAATCAAGGGCTGCTGGGCTGAGGCCTCAGGTCGAGGGGCTTTACACAAAGATGCTTTACGGTGGTGTTCGAGGGTTCTGAGGGGTTCTGAGGGGGCTCTGACGGGTTCTGAGGAGGGGCTCTGAGAACTTGTCGATGTTACTTTTTTGTTTTTCTTGTTGGGGACTTGCTCTTCTTCTTGGGATTATACCCTGAACCCTCAACCTGCTTGGTGTCTTCTGGGATTCAAGGTCTGAGCGTTGTGGGTCTTTGAGGGCTTGTGGCTAAGGCAGGATGCCTCAAGCTCCCAGATCCTTGCTGCTTAAACTTAGGGCTTAGTGCTTGGGGTTTCGAGTTTAGCCCGATACCGTGCCCGGCAGACTTTCAACCCTGCAAATGACATCAAATGACACCAAGCCGGCGAGAGGGGAGTCGCAGTTGAGCCACAGGGCTTCGGAGAAGATTCCTGAAGTTGGACACAAGTCCATGGCGCTGTCTTGCTACATGGCAATGATGCATGATTCTAAGAACCCTTAAGCCCATGGAACGAGGGCAGAGCGCTTCTTGTTTCGCAAGCCGCTGAAGCCTCAAAGCTTTCAGCAAAGAGCCACAGGATGCAAGCTCCAAGGGTCCGAGGCTTCAAAAAAGCCTTTTGCTGAGACCTTCTTTGGGAACTCAGCCTGGTTCGACTTGTCCTCCCCCCACCCCAGCAGGCTCTTTGAGGGCCCTTCCGGTGTGGACGCTGGGGTCGGCAAAGGGGCATAAACTCACGACCCGCCTTTTTGTTTGGCATGAGTTCGGAAGTGCTCGCAATCTCTCAAGTCTCGGACTGCGTCTCGCTGTCCGACTCCACTGCTGACTCCACGGCCGACTCCACCATCTTCTCTTCCAAGCCTTCTTGGTAGATGGAGCAAGGTGGGTCCTTCTTGGGCCACACCTGCTTCCGCCTGTACACGCTGTGCCAGTCCTCTATGAAGAGACGGTCGTAGAACCAACGACCGACCGGGTTCTTGTTGCTGTCGTGGAACTTCAGCACCGCAAAGACAAAGAGGTGGAGTAGGAGAAGCGGCCCGTAGACAGTGTAGGAGCCCCAGCGCTCATAGATCTGGAACAGGGATTCGGCCCACCGCCATCCGGCTGTTCCCGCATTGCTGGCCCATTCTGCGAGCTGATCCTCGATCGGCTCCGCCCAGACGCAGTAGGCCATGACCCCAACCTGGAACATAAAGCAGAACATAATGTAGTAGTCGAGACTTGTCTGGTATGGCTTCACTGGCAACCAGCTCGCCAGCACAATCTTGTGCGCGACAGTGGTGAGCAGCAGGGTTAGGAGTATCTCCAATTGCTTGTGCTCAGAAGTGGGGTCTGTGTCCTTCTTCTTGGTGGTGACTGCAGATGAGAAGGCAAAAGCCGTGCACAAAGTGAACATGCCGACAAAGAAGATGACGTTGTTGACGTAATAGTCCGGATGCCTCTCCACATAAATGTGCACATCGAATCTGGCCCTCGATGTGGGGCCTTCCTCGACCAGCACCTTGGCCCACAAAGGACTCAAAGGGGGACTCAGGGGGACTCTGAAGGACTCAAGTGAATCATCACATGGCAACGCAGCGCTGCGCAGGCCTCGAGTTGGGGCAGCTTCTCTTTATCCACGCCCCAGTCTGCCGGGACTCTTCCTGGGCAGACTCTGTCCCCTAAGACTTGACATTCAAAGCTCCAAGAGACCCTCTCGAAGGTTCCTATGAGGTTCTGGTGCTGTGGGATACATCACTAGGATTAAAGTTTCGTCGCACTTGGCTACACTA